CGCAGGAGGCCCAATGCCCATCCTCACTTCCCTGCTGGGCCTGGCGGTGGCAGGGGAGGAAGACGCCCAGCCTCCTGAGGACAGGCTCTCCAGAGCTCAGTGCAGCGGCCAGGACCAGGCTCCACTCCAGGGACACACGTTCTTCATCCCCACAGGCAGTTCCAGGCCCTCCTCTCATGACACCTCTTCCACGGAGCCTTCCTTGATGACTTCAGTGCCTGAGGTCATCACTAAGTCCTTGAGAGCATTGATCCAGCATTCATTAATTTAATTAGAAATTATCGATCACCCTCAAGGATCAGGCTTGCATGGACGTGGGGCAGAAGCCAGTGAACGACACACGTTCCTGTCCTCGAGGTCCCAAAGAAGCTACTGTCCCGAGGGACAGGCAGACAGCGAACCTTCCAGGTGACCACAGACCACAGTGGCATAGAGGCCCCCAGTGTTTGTCCTGCAGGGGCCAATGGGAGCCCAAAATGGGGCCCAGCGAGCCCAGCGGCAGGCGGTGGGCACCTCGGCCCGCCCCCAGATTCATCGCCCAGCAAACCATCAGAACCCCAGTGTCCAACCGCACTTGCTCAGTGACGTGTGCGAACGGAAGGAGCGCACCCGGTGAGCGTCTGTTCCACGCGCGGCCCTGGACTGGCGGGTCGTCGTCAATAACTGTGTTTGTGTCTACAACGTGGCTCTTGGTGTCTGTTTTCCAGGTTGGATTGGAAGATAGGGACCAGGGAGACTGGCTCCCAGTCACACGGGGAAGGTCAGGGAAGGGTCAGCCTCTGACCTGAGCTGTTTGCCCCTGGTCCCTGGTCCCCGCTGGCAGTCAGTCGCCCTGTGCCGCCTATGAGTCCCACCCTGTGTGGCACTGGCCAGCAGGTCAGGAGCCTGCAGGGGAGTGAGCAGGTAAAGGGCTGAATCCAGACTCAGATATTCAGCGACCACGGCCCCTCATGCCAGCCTCCCCCACCTCAGTGGTTCAGCCTGCTTGTCCATGTGCTAGGTCGGCCAGCACACACTTCTCAGGGCATGGCGCCCCCAGCACAGCCCCTGGCACAGATCCACCCAGGGGTGGTGGGTCCCCGCCCCTCCAGGTGCCCCAGTGGCCTGAGGACCCCACGTGACCTGTGTCTGCCTCCCCAGCTCCCTCCATTCCAGCCATACCGTCTTCCCTGCTCTTTCCCCAACTTGCCTCAGGGCCTTTGCACCTGCTAGATTAGCCCTCCGTCACGATTTCTCTTTCCTTGGACATCTGCAAGGCTCAGTCATTTCAAAACTCACTCACTCGCTCATTCCAAAGCTTCGCTCAAGTGTCACCTCCTCAATGAGGCTGACCTGGCCCTACTTACAACTGCACCCGCCCCCCGAGCCCCCCAGCCCAGCCTCCTGTAGTCAGCTGTGCTTTTTCTTTTTGCTTTTAACATAAGGTGTCATTTGCTTCTTAATTATGACTATTATTTAGTGTCCGTCTCCCCGCCCCCACCCATCTGAATGTCAGCTCGGTGTGGGGAGGACTTCTGTCATGTCACACTTGAACCCCAGGGGGCACACGGTAGGTGTCAGGATGTGTTCAGCCAGTGAATGGTGCTGGTGGGAGGCGGGAGCCATTTGTAATGGAAAACCAAGACAATTAATCCTGCCCATCAAGATTACACACTTCGTGCATTCCACACGCTCCCGTGCTGTGTGAGCAACCCGACACGTGCTAATCAATTTACTGCACAATGAAGGATAAACGCACGCTGGTCTGGCTGCAGGAGACTTGGGGTCAGGGCAGCTGGGGCCTGCAGCAGAAGGACCTCGAACATGACAAAGGGGCGGCCCCCGGGCAGCCCACTCTGCTCGCTTCTCCAGCAGCACCCGGTCCTCTGGGCAGCACTGAGCACGGCCCGCCGCCCACCCCCGCCTGCAGCCACCTAATGGTTTTCTCTGGTGCTGGAAGCTTTAGAATCACACCCGCCTTAGTGTACTCGGTTACCTAGCAACAGCCGTAAATCAACAGAACGTGCTGGAATGATCCCAGGCTGTTGGATGCTTTGGGCTTTTTTATCCCGAACATGTCAGTTCTTCCCCAGGCATCACCTGCAGCATCACCTGTTGGTGCAGTTCTAACCCAACCTAGGGCCTGATGGACTTTCGCGCAGTGTCTGCGGTTCCCCAGCAAGCCTTGCTCTCGCTCCTCACCCTCCCCCCGACTCCTCCCTCCTCCTCCCCGGCTCTGGGCACTGCAGACCTCTCTCTTCAGGCCTGCAGGACGGCTCCAGAGGGCGAACACCTGTCTCCACCCCCTGCACTTCCCGCAGCCCCACCTCATCCTGGGGTCTGTCTTACACTGAACTGAAAAGCGAGGCGGCCAAGTAATGAGACTTATGCATTAATATGTGAGGTTGTCAAAGCTGAACATGTTGTCCTGGCCGGTGTGGCTCCGTTGGCTGGAGCGTTGCCCCATTACCGAAGGGTTACAGGTTCGATTCTCGGTCAGGGCACGTGCCCAGGTTGGTGGTTTGATCCCCAGTCAGGGTGTGTGTGGGAGGCAACCCATGGGTGCTTCTCTCTCACATCAATGTCTCTTTCTCTCCCTTCCTTTCTCTCTAAAAAGAAATTAAAAAGTCCTCTGGCAAGGATAATTTTTTTTTTAATTGAGCGTGTCTATTGAGTAGTTCTTGTTCAGTGTATGTGAGCAAATGATTTAATGAGTGAGCAGTTGAATCAGGTGTTGTTCTCCGGAAAATTTTCTAGCTCTAAGATGTCATCAAATTATACTAATTTTGAAAGACAGCAAGCCTTTCAAAATCCTCACACTGACAGCAAAATTAATCCCCTTATTTGAAAAACTCCCCAAGATGCAGTAAAGCCCCGTGGTCCTGATCCAGGGCTTCGGCCCCGACACGACCCTGCTGTGACCAGCCAGCCCCGTGAGGTCAGGGGGTTTGAAGTCAGGGGGAGTACTGCGGAGCCTGGTACTCCCAGACCTGACCTTGAGGGGTGTATCGTAGGATGGCCCGTTTGTTTTAGAACTGAACTCAACTGCAGTGAAACCCACAGTGATTAGACACTTACAATTGTCCAGTACCACCCTGTACGCATGGTGTCGTTGCACAGAAACCTGGGCCCAGGGACAACTCATCCCCAGCCTCTTCCTCATCAGTTGTCACCATCACCATTATCATCTCCACCAACATCATCTCCACCAATATCATCTGTACCATCATCACCACCATCATCATCACCATCACCGTCATTTCCACATCATCGCCATTATCAGCTCCACCATCATCACCACCACCATCATCATCATCGCCATCACCAACATCATCTCCACCATCATCACCGTCACCAACATCATCTCCATCATCTCCACCACCAACATCACCATTGTCAGCAACATCATCTCCACCATCACCACCATCATCACCGTCACCACTATCACCATCACCCCACCATTACTATCATCACCAGAATGACTAGCCTTTATTGGGCACTCAACTCCACGTAAACAGCAGAAGTGGCGTGAACCCAACATGTTCTGCCTCCTCAGGACAGTGCTGGCCTTACCCCTGGTTCGAGGCTCTACAAAAACCTGATGGGTGTCAGGTGAGATGGACAGTCCATGACAGGCAGTGTCCGTCACCGCATGAGCGGAAGTCCCAACTCAGCCCTTCCTGGCTGTGTGGCCCTCAGCAGGTTAGCCGACCTCTCTGAGCCTCGGTGTTCTATGCACCCTGAGGATGCTGTGTGTACTCTAAGGTGCGCTCTTACGGTAAATGGTATAAAAATGATCCGCGCCAGCCCATGAAAACAGCCAGTGGCAGCAGTGAGCATCAGTATCACCTGTGAACGCTGGAGCTGGAGCTGTGGGGTCAGACAGACTCGGGAAGAGCGGCCGGCAGGTGCGGCGGAGTGCCTACCATGTGCCGCACCCGTGCCAAGCACATTGGAGAGTTGTCTCACGCAGCCCTCAGAAACCCAAGGAGCCAGCCCTTCCATTGACTCACAGGCCAATGTCCAGAAGCCGAGGGTCAGAGAAGGTGGCAGATCGTCAGTGATGGAGCAGTTTTGTGGGGCGGAGCCTGCAGATTCGGCACGGCACTAAGAGCTTCGTGTGAAGGGCCCAGAGGTGCTCTGGGTGACAAGGAGGGACAGCCCACGGTTCCACTGGTCAAGGGAGGCTTCAAATCGTGACACAGAACACGCTGAGATTCCCTCGCAGGCCCCAGGTCCCTGTCCCAAATGGACTTTAAACACAAGACAGACCCTCCCCAGACCCTCCACTGGACCATTTCCAGCACAGCCCACCGAGGGCCACTGGGGTCCCTGGGGCAACAAACAGTGGACAGAAACACAAAGAAGGTCCTGGTGTCTGTGCTCAGGACCCAGTCCGCCAGGGTCAGAGCTTCAGCCACAAGACGCATCTCACAGACGCCCATCCTCTCCCTGTCTCCCTGGTGCCTGTCACCCGCCCTCCGTCCCCTCTGTATGCGGCCCCTGGTCAGCGGCAGAAGACCGCTAAGTATGCTCTTTTACAGTGCCGTGGGCCTTCCCCAGGGGAGGGGCAGGGGGACAGGGCAGGAGGAGGTGACTCCCCTGTGTCTATCCTGGACAGGAGGGAGGCCTGGGGGTGTGGGTGTCCGGCAGGGTGTCCCGCACTCGGGTCATCCTGCACTTGGGTCCACGTGATCCGTCCGCAGCTCCCAGCCCTGCCCGGGACCAGCTTTCCCACAGCCTGCCTGACCCGAAAGCCAAGCCCCGCACCCCTCAGACGGCGGGGGCCCCAGCGCCCGTGCCCCACCTCACCAGCCACACAGCAGGGCAACCCGCAGGCCCGCAGGCAGCTGCCCTTGCAGCCTCCGTGGGCCTCCCACTCTGCCTGTCTGTGACTTCTGCCAGTGAACAGGGGGCTGCGGGGGGTGGCGGGGGGAGGGAGGACATCACCAGGTGACAGGAGAAGAGGGCTGGCACCAGAGGCCCAGGAGGACAATCAGGTCCCTATGATGCGGTTTTTATTTCAAAAAATAAGAAGCCCCAGTCCGACCATCTCCTGCCATCGCCGACCCGATGGCAGCCGGCTCTCCTGCCCCTCCTCACTGCTCTCCCAGGCCTGGGCCCAGCTCCTTCACGTGGGAGCCCCAGGCAGCCGTGGGCCCAGGGTCAGCGCAAGCTCACTGCGTCCCAAAGTGAACGAAGAATGTCCGGATTTCCTTCGGGTGGATGGTAACAGTGGGGCCTTCCGGGGGCGGGGGCCTGGAGCCGCCTGGGGAGGGGCAGAAGCAGTCATTCCCGCCCTACCCCTTGGAGCCCCTGCCTGGCTGGGATACTTCCTCCCTCCCCCCCCCCCCCCCCGCCCACCACACCTGCCTACACCCTGCTGTGGCTCCCCTGGTGGTGCGTTAGGTGACCAGCCCCTCCTGCCCAGACTCCTGCTGCCAGTGGGCCGCTTGCGTTTCTGCCCTCCTGTAGTGCCCGCCTGAGGGGGAGGGACAGCTGGAACCCGACCCTGGTCCCACCTGGCAGCATTTCCCCTGCTGTGTGGCACTCGAGGCCCAGCAGCTGTCCCACGGAGGCCCCTGGGGGCCTTCATCTGCCTCACCGCGCTCCTCCCTGGGAAGTCACGCCCTGGGGCTCAGGCTCCAACTGCCCACCCCTCCCTCCTGCCTTCCTTCCATTCATCCATTCACCCCCACGGCCTGAACGTCCACCTGAACACCCGCCAGCGTGCCGAGTGCGGGGGACCAAGAGGAGGTGCGTGGGACAGCAATCACGGGGGCAGAAAGAGCAGAGGAGGCCCCTGGCCCAGCCCCGACCTTGGTGGAGGCTTGAGTGGGACTGGCCAGAAGGAAGGGACAAGGGCGTCCCAGGCAGGGGAACAATGTGAGTGACGCCTGGGAGGCACGGGGCAGCCTGCGGTCGGCAGGAGCCAGCAGGACCTGTGCAAAGCGGGGCACAGCACAGCAGACCACCCGAGGCGCACCTGCGGGCCTGGGCTCACCCAGGGCTCGGGCGGGGGCTGCACACGCCCACGCACACCTGTGCAGACGCCAACCCGAAGCCTCCCTCTGCCCACCGCGGTAGGTCCAGGAGGCGGCACAGCCGGAGAAGGCGGGCAGCCTGCTCTAGGTCCTGCGGCCCACGGAGCAGCGCCAGGAATCACAGGCAGCCAGGGCCTGACCCAGGGGCTCCCAAACCTCCATCCTCCGTCTTCCTCGTCCAGCGCCGCAGCGCGCTCACGTCCCAGGTCCCGGTGAGCGAGCGCTCCTCCACGGCCAGCACGGGGCCCAGCCCCCGCAGCACGGACTGCAGGGAGAGGAGTGGCGGTGGGCGGGGGGAGCCACCAGGGTCTGGGTCTGAGCAGAGCATGCCCCGCAGCAGGGGCGGCCACCCAGGGCCCAGCACGAACCCTATTTCATTCCCACAGCAAATCCCCTGGCTCAGGATGGGAGCCCCATTTCATAGATGAGGAAACTGAGGCGGGGGGAGCTTGCTTCCCAGGTGCCCAGCTGGGGGTAGGTGCCCAGGAACACATGGACACTCAGAACCCCCCTCCAGTGTTGAGCCCCCTGTGCCCAGCGGGGGCCACGGCCACCCCAGGAGGAAGCCAGTTGTGGCTGTCCACCCCCCTTGCCCAGGAGCTCCACCCAGCCACCCCTGCAGAGACGGGGCAGGTGTCCACAGACAGGGACAGTCTGCCGACCGAGAGGGCAGAGAGGCCGGGGAGCGGCTCCCTGTGCTGATGGAGGGCGCACACGCATGGAGGGCCAGGCCCCTGGCTGCCGCCACCCCCAACACTTTGGTCTTACACCTGCTTGTGAGGCCTGAACCAGGGGGTGACCACAGGCCAGCAGCAGGAAGAGAAAGAGGCAGCTGGCTGAGGACAGCTGGGCGGGAGGACACAGGTGACCGGGTCGGAGGAGAGCATTAGAGCAGCTGAGCAGGGGCAGAGACAGCCCCCATCCCAACACTGGGTGGCGAGAAAACCCCGGGCCCTGCTCCTCGGCCGGCAGCTGTCACACAGCCACGCATGCTCCTAACCAAGACCTGCTCTGGCCGCCCTGACCGACACCGTCCACACGGACAGGAAGCACGCGGTGTCCACCCAGCCATCCACTCCGCTAAGGGTCTCCGAGCCTCGCCTGTCCCACTGGAGCAGCACAGGGTGACTGGCGTCCAAGGGCTGCCTCTGCCCCCACCCCGCACCTGGGCACAGGTGGCTCAGACCTGCACTCAGCCTCTGAGGGGCCCACGGGGAGGGGCCAGGTGAGGAAGGGGCAGTCCCCGGACCCCTGACGGCCTTGGTGGTAAGCACCAAGAAAGGGGGGCTGCAGAAGGCACCACAGAGGAAGGCTCGGGGTGGCTCGTTAGGGCTGTACGGTTCCACGGAGGACCTGGGCGTCGGAGGTGCCCACGGCAAGATCGGGAGTAGGAGGCGAACGGCAGCTCACAGCCCACGTGGAGTGCCGATGTGGAGGCCTGAGGCGTCTCGCGGGGCCCTCTGGGGAGGAGGGCACAGGGTGGGCCCACCGGAGCCCACGCTGGGTCCTTCGAGAGTGTGTCCTGATGCACCTCGGCCATGTCCAAGTCAGGGCTGTCACCCTTGGAATCTGCCTCCCCCAATCATCGTCCCCCCAGGAGGCCGGACATGGTGGCCGGGCAGCGGTATGTTGGGGGTGGGGGGCGAACTACCTTCAGATCCACGGTCACTGGCTGAGACAGGACCTGGTGCTCCCCGGCCTCGTACAGGTGGTGCAGCCGCAGCAGGACACGGTGGAGGTCGGCCTTAGGCTTCCCTTGACGGCCTAGGACAGAAGGAAGGCGGCATGAGGACCCCCCTTGTACCCGGCATGTCACACGTACACGCCATTTCACATCCTTGTGCTCCCGGAGGCGGCAGACCGGGCCTCCCCCGATGGATGAGGAAGCCGAGGCTCGGAGCCCAAGGCCACACAGCCGCTGCACCCGGGGAGGGTCCGCCCAGGCCCAGAGACTCTAAGGGGTGACTGACACTGGCGTCTGGGGAGTCTGGGTCCTCAGTCACTGTTGTCATTATGGCCTTGTCCTCCAGGCTTCCAGTCCCTGGAATATTCTCTCCTTCTCTGCCCTTGTCCAGTGCAGTGTGGCCACAGAAGGTGAGGCCAGTGCAAGGCGAGCAGAGGTGATGCGTCCCTTGCTAGTCACCAGAACTAAGGCAGCAAGTGGTACCCTACAGCCTCCATCAGCGGGTCCCTGGTGACCACAGTGAGAAGGGGCTCCCTGCGGCCCCACTGGGTGGGGAACAAGCATGTGTTGTCTGCACAGACAGAGCTTGGGGTCCTTGGTTCAGCAGCAGAAGTTTATAAAATCTCTTCTACGTGGTCCCAGTAGTGGCCTGGGACATGTTCCAGGTCTGGCAAGGCTTCAGGCCCCTGGTCATGGCAGCGGTGGTGAGGGCGGTGGTGGGGGCGGTGGTCTGAGGGCAGCACTGAGGTGGGGCCGGGTGTGGACAGCGGTGCAGAGATACAGGTGGGCTTAGGAAGGATCCACAGGAGAATCGTGTGGGCAGGACCTGGGCTTGGGTCCAGGCCCACCTTGCCCCTGGTTACTCGACGCCTCTCTGTGGGCCTCAGTTACCCCGTTTGGCAGATAAAGGACCAGGTCGCCTTGCAGAGCCACAGCCACTGTGCGCAGGGCCTGCTGTGCCCAGCAACACGATGGCAGGGGTGAGTCCGGCCCTTGGACACCCGCCGCACCTCCCTGGAGACTCTGCAGGTGCTCCGTGTGGTTGGAGCTGTAGTTCCAGCCGGGGATGCTCAGGGTCTGCAGGTGCAGACTGGGGGGCAGCGTCACGGCCTCCTGCTGACGGGGCGCTGAGCCATTGTGGCCAGTCTCTGCAAAGCAGACGGCCGGGTAAGGGAGAGGGTGTGGGGTCAGACCCCCCATCGCATTCAGAGCTCTCCGCACCGTGGTCCCATCACAGCTGACAACCCCCAGCCTCGCCACAAGCAGCCCACACTGCAGCCCCAGACCCCCGCCCAGGCTCCCGCCCTGGCCTTTGCTTCCCCGGGTCCTTCCCCCCAAAAGCCCCTCCTTCCACATGTCCAGCTGCTCAGAGGACAAGCCTAAGAGCTGGACGGACCCTGCATCTCACATCCAGCCATTTCAAACTAAGATGAGGAGACTAAGGCCAGAGAGGTCACTGCTTGTTCCAGATCAGATGAGAAGCTCACACAGGGCCCCGTTTTCCATAGGGGGTCTGGGATGTCAGCTCCTTCCTTGTCTGGTCACCTATGGCTCTCTCTGCTCAGATGACACCTCAGCCCCTGCTCCTTCTAGGAAATGCTCCTTTTCATCTGGGCTGCAGCTAGAGCTACCACCTCCCCACAGTACCCCAGGCCACAGCGATTGGGCCAGGCTTGGGTCACATGATCCCATCAGGACCAATCAGAAACTTTCCAAGTCTCAAATCCTTTGTTGGGGGAAGACCTGTGGCCCCAGAGCTGCTCACAGCCATGTCCCGGGTGGAAGGGAAGAAGCTCCATAGGCAGAGAGAAGCACAGGTAACAAAAGGAAGGAGAGGGACAGTCTCCTGAAGGTTCCAGCCTCCCACCCCAGTTACACCTCTGCCTTTCCCTCAGTTACGGAGCCCCAGAATAAAGTCTCCAGTGGCTCAGACGTCCACATTGGAGTTCTCTCACTTGCACCCAACAGAGACCAGAGTGAGGCCAGCTGGATGGAGCCAACCACAGCCACGGAGCTCATTCAGACACGGCACATCCCGTGTGGGAAAGACTGCCTTTGCCAGGAAGGACCAAGACCGACCCAGGAGCAGCCCTTGCCCTTGCTAGCCAATCAGAGCCCACTCCCGGAATCTGCAGCATGGGACCTGGCGGGGACAGGCAGGTGCTCAGGGCAGGGCCGGGAGAGAGATGGCCCCTGGCAGGCACAGAGCCACCCTGCCTGCTGCAGGCCCAGGCCACTGCCAAGCTCCCTGTCCATCCGTGAGCCTCCCCGGCTCCGGACCCCCAGCTGCTCCTTCAGGGTCCTCTACTGACAAACAAGAGGACTTGGGTGACTCTCTCAGAGTGGACCCATGACCTCACCTCCGCCTGCAGTATCTCACTACCCTAATCCCAGAGGTCACCAGACCCTCTCCAGCCCCGCCCCCTGCTGCCCTATGTCCTGGACCCGTGCGGCCACAGCCGGCCCTACACAGCCTGGCCCCGAGGGCACCCACCCAGGGCCACCCTGGCCCAACTGGCTCCTCTGGGCACCCCCATACCAGTCAGCCTCCCCAGCACCACCACTGGCCGGTGCTGCAGGGCCAGCCCACTCCTCTGGCACAGGCGGGTGGTCACTGGCCGGGGTCCCAGCAGGAGCCAGAGCACCGGGCGGACAATAGAGGTGTCGTTCAGTGTGACATTGTAGTCCAGGGACAGTTCCAAGTTGTTCCACAGCCGGCGGTGGAGCATGACCTGCAGGGAAGGGTGGGGTGACGCCCCTCGCACCTGGGGCTCATGGGGTGGGGCGGGGCAGGGCTGGCCGGGCCAGGCCGGGCCTCCTCCTACCTCCACCTGCCCCTTCCCCTGGCTGGAGACGCCGTGCGCCTGCTCCGCTAGCAGCACCAGCCGGCTCCTGCCGTCCTCGATGTAGGCCGTCTGCGCCATGGGGTAGTAGTTCTGTGGGCACGACATGGCCAGGGACACCGGGCAACAGGTGAGCCAGGCCTCCTGTTCAGGGGTCACCTCCAGCCACCCCAGCCAGCCCCCGGCTCAGGCACAGCAGCAGCTCAAGGCAGCATGGTGGGGGGCCTGCCTTCAGAGGTACACAGATGGGGGCTCATGTCCAGCTCTCCTGCCCCCTGGCCACATGAGCTGGGGAACTAAGCCCACTCAAGCCCCCATTTGTCCTTCTGTAAATGGGGCACAGAGTCGCTCTCTGGACACCGATGGGAGCGGGCGATATGGGCCTGACGGGGGCCTCGGCCATGGTGCTGGCCATGTAAGGGCCCCATGAGCCGGGTCCCCTGGGGCAGGATGTCCTGGGGCTGACAGACTAAATGACCTGGGATTGGGGGCCCCGCCCCAGAGGGTGGAGGCCAGCAAACAGAGAGAGTGGGGAACAGAAACTCAAGGAAGGCAGAGCATGGTGGGGACCCTGCGCTGTGATGGGCAGGCCCCCAAGGGAGGGAGACCACAAAGGCGTATCAAGGGCGTATGAGGTGCCCAGCACCCGCCTCACCTGGATTCTCCCAGGGGACCCTCACAGCTCTGGGGCGAGGAGCTACCCCCGTTCCCAGGAGGGCTCCCAGGCTCAGGGAAGCTAAGTCACCTGCCTGGGGTCACCCAGCCTGGGGCCAAAGGCTATGGGAGCTGACCCTGGCATTTGACTTTGGGCCACACTCACTGTGGCTCCACTGCCGACAGTGTCCAGGCTGAGAACACCGAACACAGGTCAGGTCCCGCTCGGCCTGGCCAGCTGCCACCCCCTCCTCCACAGAATGGCTCTCTGACGAGCCCCTCCTCGTACAGAAGAGGAAACTGAGGTACAGACAGGACCCTCAGGCGCATGGTGGCCCCGGAGTTCAGACACCAGGTTGACCCGAGCCTGGGTCTCCAGCCCTGAATGACAGTGAGTGGGCTGGGCCCAGACGGGCTCTCCCCAGAGCCTTTGCCGCCACGTGCCGGTGGGGAAGCGCCCTCAGGGCTGCACCAGTGGGCGCCGTGTCCACGGGCACCGCAGGCGTACCCGGGAGATGGTGTTGTTGGCGTGGCGCCGGTAAGGCCTGCGCTGCACCTGGAAGCCGTTGCTGTCCGTGTAGAGGGTCTGCCGGCTGGACAGGTTGGTGCTGGTCCGCAGCACGGCCTCACGGTTCAGCTGCAGGGGGCCCACCCGGAACTGCTGCTCGATGCGGTGGCACAGCAGGTCCCCGTTGTAGCCACGTGGCACGTGGGCCAGGCGGGAGTAGATGGCGTACGTGGGATTCTTGGCATTCACAGTCCTGGAGGGAAAGCACCGAATCAGGAGCACCTCCCAGAGCCTCCGGGTGCTCCCAGAACACCTTCCCTCCCCCTTCCCTCCACTCCTGGGCACCCAGGTGCCTTCTCAGGGACAGGATGGGAGGAGCCCGGTGCCCCATGGTGCAATGGTGCAGGGCTCCGGCCAGGCCCAACGGCCTCGGTCTGTGCTGTTAGTAGAGACGCGGGCGGCCCCCCCGTGAGTGCGTCCCTGGCCCCACGGGCTCCCGCCCCGGCACATGCAGGTGGAGCCTCGGTGCGATCCACTTCTTCATCCGACTTCCATCAGGTGAGACTGTGCCAGGCACAAGCCCAGGAGCTGGGCACCTGAGCAGAGATGGGCCCTCGACACCCGCCCGCGTGCTCCTACTGTGTGCTGGGCACAGCCCGCACGGAGGCCCGCGCACCTGTAAAAGTACTGCCGGATCTCAGTCATGAGAGTCCCGTGTACGACCTCCATCCCCACCGCTTTCCACGCGGGGCTCGCAGGCCGCCCAGGCGCGAACACGTAGTTGTCGGACACGGGGCCCAGGTTCGTGTCGCCGTTGACGTGGTACTCCAGGAACTCCTGGGTCACACGGACCGTCCGGTTACTCTGTCTGCCAGGCAGCAAAGAGAACACCATGTTGCTGTCAGGGACAGTGTCTCCTGGGGGCCACCCTCAGGAACTGGAACCAGCTGCCCCCCCCACAGTCACCAGCCGTGAACGGGGAGGGAAGTGACCGGCACAAAGGCTCCATGAAGCTCAGGCACTTGGTTCGGATAAAAGCCCTTCACGCCCTGGCTGGTGTAGCTCAGTGGATTGAGCGCGGGCCTGCAAGCCAAAGGGTTGCCAGTTCGATTCTCAGTCAGGACACGCGTGTGAGCTGCGGGCCGGGTCTCCAGTGGGGGGCGCCTGAGAGGCAACCACACATTGATGTTTCTCTCCCTCTCCTCCCTCCCTTCCCCTCTGTCTAAAAGCAAATAAATACAATCTTTAAAAAAACAAAGCCCTTCACACCCCATCCAAGTCCCTCCCTGCCCCCAAGTGGATCACAGAGGAGGAGGGGACAGAGGCTGCGTGACAAGCCACAGGGGCACAAGCACAGGGCCAACGCTGCCACAGAGGGACCTGCCCACAGAGGCGGTGTGGGGTCACCCAGGTGGCTGGCAGCAGCAGCAGACCCGCCCCCCCTTCCAGCAGTCCCTACAGTTCAAGGATGGGTTTTCATGCTGACTCCAGCTGTCCAGAGGTCCCACGCCAGAGCCCTCACCCACTTCCCGTGGTCAAACACCCATGACCCCACAGGCAGGGGTTACAAAGCCAGTCTCCGCCAAGGTTCCCGCGGCGGGCAGTGTGACATCGCCCAAGACCCCACTCGCAGGACTCGCACAGCCAGGACGCAGGCCCACTGCCACGCCGCAGCCCCCACCCGCCCAGTCACTGGGGGAGGGAGAGGCGGGGGTGGGGAGGCCAGAGCCTGTCCACGCAGGTTTGGACCGCGGACCTGTGTGGTCTGAGCCACACGTTCCCATCAGCATGTCGCCCTGCCAGGCAGCCGAAGGGGAAGAGACACCTCTACACCCACTCTCGGGCTTTCTTAGGGATGGCGCCAGGGACGGGAAGGAAGAGCAGGTGTCCACGAAGCCCCTCTGAGCCCCTCAAATGGAGGGAAGAGAAGAGAACCCTTTCTGTTGGTCTGGCATCCCAGGCCGCTCCCATCTGCTCCCAGGCTCCCCGCCTGGCTTCCTTCATAAACAGCCCCCTGCAGCCACCGAGGAAGTGAAAAGCCCCCCACAGATCAGGAGATTGGCTGGTCACACCTGACAGGGGACTTTATCCGAAAAAGATAAATAACTCCTACAAGTGAGGAATAAAGAGATGGCCCAGTTTTAAAATGGACAAAGGACGCGCGCAGACATCTCACCAGGGAAGACATAGAGATGACCAGTGGGCACAGCAAGAGACACTCAACACCATGGTCAGCGGGGAAATGCAAATCAAAACCCCTCGAGGTACCACTTCACACCCCGAGGGCAGCTGTCATTGAAAAGACAGGCCCTGACAAGTCCTTGGGACGAAGGGACCCCCACACACCGTGGCAGGGCTGGAAAACGAGTGGTCGCTGTGGGAGACAGCCCAGCAGCTCCTCGGATGGCTAGACGCAGGTCCGTCCTGTTTACCCTAGCAATGCCACACCGAGGGACCTACCCAAGAGAAAGGAAAGCTGTGACCACACACAAGCACGCACGTGCATCTCCACAGCAGCATTATTCCTCAGAGCCAAAGAGTGGAAGTAACCCAAAGGCCGATCAGCTACAGACTGGACAAATACAGGCAGTGTGTGGAAGCAGTGGAATATTACTGAGCCCTGAACAAGGAATGCAGTACTCGACAAATGCGCGCCATGAATGACCCTTGGAAATGTGGAGCTACGTGCCATAAGCCAGTCACGAAAGGACCACATGCGGTCTGCTTCCATTTTATGAAACGTCCAAACCCGCAGAGACAGGAAATAGATTGGACCTGCCGGGGCCCTCGGGGAGTGGGAAACGGGGAGGGCGTGTCTTCTCTTCGGGGTGATGAACACGTCCTGAAACCGAATGTGGCGAGCCTTGCACAACTCTGCGAGCGCACTCAAGTCCATCAACACACACACTGTTTAAAGAGGCAAATTGAGCGGCATGGGAATCACACAGATACCGCTGTTATCCAGGAAAAAGGCAGCCCCGCACCAAGCCTGTGCCGGCGCCTGGGCAGTGCGCACCCCACGCCCACCCCAGGCCTCTGCACAGGTGGCTTCCTTCTGTGGAGCAGCGGCACCTCGGCTATGCCGGTGGATTCTCTGGCCCCTCATGGCCTCAGGCCTGACCCGGGGTCTCCCCTCAACCCCAAAGCCTCCCCTGAGCCCCCCACTCCCAGCTCCAACAGCTCCCCCACCTCAATGATGCATGAGGCGCTGGTTTTGCCGTTTAGCCCCAGTTAGAACTTCAGGGAGCCCCATAAGGGACTCCCCTTTCCTCAGCCGAGTCCAGAGCCAGATGGGCTCCGGCAGATGGACAGAAGGACCTGGCTTACATGCTGGCATCCGAGGGCTGGAAGAAAGGGGTGGTGAGCAGGAGGCAGCCCTCACCAGGGCAGCCCAGATGGGGCACGGGGCCCAGTGAAGGACCCCCCAAGCCAGTGTCAGATTCCACCTTCTTCCACCTGATTGGAGAGTTCAGAACATGTGGGGGGCTGCACCTCATTTCTGATGCTCCCCCACACTGCCTGCTCTTAGCCCCCCTACTGGCCACATGCTCTCAAGAAGGACCCTATTTAGAGGGACATCCCAGGGGTGGCCTGAGGCTGAGCGCCAGGCAACACTCCCCTCGCAGCCACGCCCCCTCCCTCTCCTCCTCCCCCTCACTTCCTCTGGGGGTCCTCCCACACTGCCAGCTGGCGGTCCCTTCAGAAGATGGAAGCAGGTGTTCTGGCACAGGCGGCTGGGCCGGAACGAAAACTACTGGGGATGTGGCTTGAGGGGAAACAGGGTTGTCTGACTCCCTATACGACCAGGGAGGCCTCCCCAGGAGTCAGCTGTTCACTCTGCCGTGAAGAGGTAGCTCCAGATTGAGTGAAGATCGGCATGGATGTGTGAATGGGTAGAAAGATGGGTGGATGGCTGAGTGAGCAGATGGGAATGGGGTGTGGATAAATGGGCAGGGTAGGTGGGAGAATGGAGGCGTGGATGGGTGAAGAGATGAGTGGGTGGGTGGGTGGCAGACAACAGGTGGGAGTCAGCGGTGGGTGAATGAATGAACACATGGGGAGATGCGGAGTTTGGTGGATGGGTGAGTAGATGAGAGAATTTTATGTTCCTCTAAGTTTTAAAAAGTGAGTAAAATGAATATTATATTTGTTCCCTGGGATGGGGGATCCTTTAACACCCTTTTCTCCCCAGAATCAACAGCTCTGGAATAAAAAAAGTTCAAGACAGACTTTCTTGCCCTAGCCAAAACTCATGCTCCTAGAAATAAAGATGGTACAAGACAGAAAGGACTCCACCCCAACCAGGTTCTTCTCCCAGGCAGATGAGGAAATAAAAGCCCAAGTGAAGGAAGGCCAGCCCAGGCCACAGGCAACGCCTCCGCCTCAGAGCCAGCCGTGGCTGCACCTCACCTCTCCCAGATGCTGTGCATCAGGTTGGTGTCCCAGTCGAGGAAGACAGTGTAGCACCCGTTGTCCACGGGCACCAGGCGTCTGCCCCGGGGCCCAGTGTGTCTCCTTAGCCTGCGGTCAAACTTGGAGGTGAAAGCCTTGGTGGCACTGGCAGCTCCATCGCCCTCCTGGGCCTCCTTGGTGGGCCTGATGCTATAGTACCGGTAACTGAGGCCAGGGATTGTGGCAAGCACATGCAGGTCATATTTATGTGGTGCCTCCTTCACTTTCTGGACCTGTAGGGCCAAAGGGACGGGGTGTGACAGGTGTTTCAGGGCCGGAAGACACCCGTCTCCTCGGTAACCCTCAGCTAACCCTTCTCCTGGGTGGGGCGCTCACTCCCCAGGGGGCGGCAGGGTCCTCACACCGCTGCACTGAGCTGAACTCCCCTCCTTGCATCTGTCCTGCTCAGTGGGATCCATCCCTGGCCTCATCTCCCTCCCCTGCGACCCTCCCTCTGGGCACCAGCATTACCGACTGCCCTTCCTCCCCAACACGCCTGCTGTTCCCTGCCTCTGAGCCATCGCTCATGCTGTTCCCTCTACCTGGAAGGCCTTCTCTGGGAAGGGGGCAACGTTATTCCCCAATACTCTACTTTTGCACGAGGGGTGCTTTCAGGGCACCCCATGGCCTTTCTTATCCCCCATTCTCTGATCTGGGGAGGGGACTCGAAGGGCACATTCAGTGACCCCCCCCCCACTGTCTAGGGAGAACATGCAGTCTCTGAGCCCCCATGGGAGGCCTTTCGGGGAGCCCTGTGAGCGTACCCACAATTGCCGCACAGCCCCTCCCACCCAGGGTCCACCTGAAACTCAGCAGACATCTCGTCCCCCCAACACCCTGCTCTAGTGATTTCCCTCCACCATCAGGGTCACAGTCTGTATTTTCTCATGTTGTTTACTGCCTGTCCCTCCAGCCCGAACACGGGCCCCCGCGGGCAGGGCCTTTGGTTAGTACAGTATCCCGGTGCCTAGACCAAGGCCTGACACGGAGCGGATATCGTTCAGTGTTTCCCTCCAAGTGGAGCTGCATTCGGCGGGAAGAGGCGTTATGTGCCGGGTGTGTGCAAACCACTGCCCTCCTCCAGCCCCTCCGGGTCAGATGGACTCCCCCTCCTCCGTCTCAGCTGAGGATGGCTTCCCGGCTCCCAGGCCGTCACTCCACACCTTGATTCTTCATTTCTGTGTCTTCCCCTTTCCCACAGTGCCCTGGCCAGAGACACAAAGCTTAGCCCAGAGCTGGCCCAGAGCGGGCCCCGGAACCAGCCCGGAGGAGCGTGTGCCGAATGGCTGGCTGACAGCAGCTCCTCCTCCACCACCCAGGGAGGGGCCACAGGGTGACAGGCCAGGTGCCCTGGGGTGCCCGGTTTGGCTCCAGGCAGCATGGGCCCCCGCCCCGAACCTCAGCACCCCCACAAAGCACCCGTGAGGACGCCTGGAGGCCTGTCCTGGGAGGAGTGGAAACTCACACTAGACTCTAAATAGTCCCCACGGGAGGGGGAGGGAAAGTGTGCGCCGTGCTGTGCACACCCCACCTGACACGCTCCAGGGAGGGGACAGTACCTGGGAACATCTGGCCATGCCAGACACCCAAGGCCCAGTGTCAGTCCCCTGGGGAGACCCCACAGGTCCTCGGTGGACACCCCCCACACTGACGTCCTCGGCGAGGGTGGGGGTGGGGGATGTTCACTTCAGCGGCTCCCGTTCCTGGGAGCGCCTGGCCCGAGCAGGGGTCAGCAGCGGCAAAAATCACGCCCGTATACCTGTGCGGGCACAGAGTGTCCTGACTCATCTGTGACACTGGCCTTGGAGAAGCCCACGGGCAGGCTGATGACAGTGGTGACCGTCCAAGCCAGGGGGTTGTAGACAGCAGCAAAGCGAGCCTCGGTCGCCGGGCCTGCAACAGAGCACAGGCCTCACATGCTGTCATTCATCGGGCCCCTCAGCGGGGGAGAAATGGGCAGCGAGCCCCCCGCCCTGCGGAGCCCCCAGGGAGCCCATGGAGAGGGAGGGGCGGGGTGGTCAGCCAGGCAGGGAAGGCAGGAAGGGAGCAGCGCCCCCCTCTGGACAGCTGAGGTTCCCCGTGCTCCTCGCTCACCTGCCTCGTGAGCACACCCAACTGATGAGGAAAGGGAGGCCCAGAGAAGCAGAGTCACCCACCCAAGGGCACCCCGCTCCTGAGGCCTGGCTCCCAGAATTTGAGTGCCTGTCCTGAGTCATCGGAGAATTCTCTGGAGCCTGGAAGGTCGAGTCCAGTTGCCTAGCCCAGCTTCCGAGACCCCTGCTGTACGAACCTGAAACCCCTCTCTGGCCCACCCTGCGCCCCACCCACTGTGAGCTCCAGCCACGCCCGCCGACCCCTGAGCACACTGCACAGTGTCCAGCCCCCGCCTCTGCCCAGGCTGCCATGGCGATGCCTCCCTGTCAGCCGTCTCCGCCCACTCCTGGCTTGGGGCGCCACCCACATAAGCTCATGGGAAGGGACTGCCACCCAGGCACCGCGGTCACTGCCCTGGTTCTAGCTTCTCTCCACAGCTGTCCCTCCCACTCACCCCAGTCCCTGTGGGCAGGTGCTGCGTGTGCTGCCCTGTCCCCACGGGCCACCCGGAATGTGGAGGTGGGATGGGGCCATACACAGACGCAGAGGGGAGGGTGAGCAGTGGCACCAGAGGCAAGACATGCACGGTGACAGGGTGCAGGCTGAGGGTGGGGACTCAGGGCAGGGCGTAGCCTTGTGCACAGAAAGTCTTTCCGGGTCTGAAACCCCCTCGGGCCCCTCAGAGAGGTATGGTCATCCCTGCGTCCACGTGAAATGTTCACGGTCACTGGCGCCGCACCGAGATGACGTGTACCCAGGCTGAGCTCAGGACGCATGCCAGGGGCCAGGCTGAGACCAGGTCCCGGAGGACACCTGCTCCCTCGGCAAAGCAGGGCAGTGCGGGGGCCGAGGGTTTGACCCCTTCCTGCCCGCATGACCCCAGGCAAGCCCACAGCCACATGTCTGTCCCTGTCCTCGGCTAGAGCACAGGGCCAGCAGCTGTCCTGGCTGGCACACAGGCCACAGGGCACCACGCCGACTGCTGTGGGGAGTGGGCCGGGCCAGTGCCCAGCCCTGCCTTGTGCAGGGCGAGCAAGCAGAGGCTTAGGAAGGTCACAGTACCCACCCAAGGTCAGGCTGAGGGTCAGAGCACGTGAGGCGAGTGACTCCTGAGTCTGAAATTCAGGTGGTCCAGGCCCCCTCCCCGGACCCCCAGGCTCTCTTCTCAGAAAGGACCGGAGCCCCGCCTGTCCTCAGGTCCCCAGCCCACCCTGCAGGGCCTCGCTTACCTGCATGGGCTTGGGTCGTATCCAGGGCAACAGAGGACATCAGCTGGAGCACACCCCGAATCCCTGCACGCAGGTGCTTCACAAACATGTCGCTCACCTTGATGGCCTCCGTCCCGGTGATAGCGTCATGGTGCTGGACCTGCGGTCCCCACCAGGTGAGGGAACAGTGGAGTCAGGACTTGCTGCTGCAAAGCACACCCTAGGCACCTGGCAGCACCCAGGCCAGGCACCCTTCTTCTCTGCAGGAGCAGGGAGAGGGGCAGGTCCCAGTCCCTCCCACGTCACAGAGAGGAAACTGAGGCTCAGGGAGGCTGACCTTGCCTATCATTTTCTGACCTTGAGGAAACCCATAACCTGAGTAAGTCCCCCACCTTGGGTAGACAACAGACTTTAGGAAGGGACCTGTCCTGGCTTCACATCGTGGCATTGCCTTCCCTGGTGATACAAGAGCCACCAGGCTCTCCGGGAGTGACCTGCTGTGAGGCAGTTGAGGGTCAGTGGGCTGTGCTCATTATCACACTGGACGGCCCCACCGCCCAGCTGGGGGCGCACATGGTTTCGTGGTGCAGGGAGGGAGGCGGGGCTCAGAGAGGGAACGCCCGTGCCTGAGCCCCCACAGCGGGGCTGAGGCTGCTCCACCTTGCCCTTTGCCCTTTGCCCTCCGGGTCAGTTCAGCTCTGAAGCTCCCTGGAGCCCCAGCCGATGCTGTCAGAGGGCCCCACATCAGCCTGCCCCAGCCTTGTCACCAAGGATGACCTCAGTGTTCTCATCTGTGAAGTGGACCCAAGGACTAGGGGCTGGATGCGGATGGCCCTGCACAGGAGGTCCTGTCCTGCTACTGTCACCGGAAAGTGTGACATCACCTCGGACACGGCCCAGCGGAGCTGCTGGAGCTGCTTCAGGGCCCAGGCGGGGTCCAGGGCCCGGGGGGGGGCAGGCCACATGTGGCGTGTGAACATGGACTCCCCGGCGTGCAGCAGGGCGCTGGCCCGCCTCGCCAGCCCCTTCAGCTGGCTGCGGGACGTGTAGAAGCCGGTCCAGGCCTTCAGTGTTTCTGCAAGACAAGGGCCGGCGTGGGTGTGAGTTTCCTGCCCACGGAGCTCCCCAAGCCCAAGCCCAGAAGAGCTGGGGCCAGAGAGGGCACAGTCAGCATGGGCCACCCGGGAAGGCTTTGGGGCGGCTGCACCCAGGGCTCCTGCACCAGCCAGGCCAGGAACGGCCCCAGGGGGCTGCAGGTCCTGGTGGGGACAAGAACACTCAGGGAGGATGGGGGAAGCCTGCATCCACCTGTGGACAAGGGCCTGGAGCCCTGGGGCTGCAGAGTGTGAGACGAGGGGACAGGCAGGACCCAACTAAGAAGGGCCCAGAGCGCTGCAGCAGCCTGTGTGTGTGACTGCGGGACAGTGGGGCATCCCAGGCAGGCCTGCGTTACAGCGGCTCCCACTGGCGGCTGGGGAGGAAGGGCAGGAGGTCGCTGGAAGGAGCTGAGAGACCCCAGCAGTCGCTGTCAGACCCAGACAGAGGATGAGCCCTGACCAAGGTGGGGTGGGTGGGGAGGGACGAGTGCCTCTAGGCCTGTCCGCCTCCCCCCCCCCTCCCCCCCCCCTCCTCCTCCTCTCCTCCCCCTCCTCCTGCCTCCTGCCTCCTGCCTCCTGCCTCCTGTGGGGCCTGGGCTGGGCCTCCCTTCCCTGTCTCCCCCCAGGACCTGTGCCAGACTGGGACAGGGAGCCATATCTTGGGGAGGAGAGGTATGGGATGGGGGAGGGGGAGGCCATGGCTGGGGGCTCAGATAGACCTGGTCCTCCACGGCCCCAAGCTGCAATGAGGGTCCACGTCAGGCTAGGACACGCCAACACCTGAGCTCTGCACCCAGCACCAGCCCGGCCCGCAGCCCTCCCACATGGCCAGTGCCATTGAGCAGAGCCTCCACACTCAGGGGGCTCCTCCAGGAGCCAAGCTCCCCTCGGCACACCCACTGGGCATCGCTTCTTCTCACCCACCCGCAGGCCGGCAGAATGACAGACTCTACCACGCAGCTCACATGGGGCAGGGTGTAGCCCTGGGAGGGGTGCACCTGCCGGCCCTGCCTTAGCCTCCTCGGCAGGGACTGCACAGTCACACCCAGGGCAGGACCTGGCCCCACAGGACCAGGGATGACATGGTAATTGGTAACAGCTGCATCTGCTGAGCCGCTGCCCTGTGCTGGACACTAAGCTGTGAGCTTTCCTGGAATCACTTTATTTCTACAAACCCATAGACTAAGGACCATTCATGTCCTCATTTCACTGAGGCACAACAGTTCCCTAACTTGCACGCAGCTGTGACGCAGGCTCAGCCTGAGACCATCTCCTAACCCTCCACTGGGCTGGTCGTAGCCCGCGCCGGCCTGGCCCCAAGGAAGCAGGTGCGCAGCACACAGGGTCCCCCGAGTATGACCATGTAGGAACAGAAGGAAAGCTGGGGTGTGCGGACACATAGAGGGGCCACCTGGTGGGGCCTGCACATCAGGGAAAGTCCTGCAGGAGGCGACATTACAAGATCAGCAGAAGGGATGCGGGAGGAGAAGGCGGGAGAGGGTGCTTCCAGCCAGGAGCACTACGAGGGCAAAAGCACGGTGGGAGGAGCCTGCTGCGTGTGGGCAATGCTGGGAGCCAGGCTTCATGTGTGCGCAGCAGCCAGGATGTCCTGGTGGGACAGGTAGGTGGGGACAGGGCCAGCCTCCCAGGCTGCCAGAGCAGGACAGAGCGGACACTGCAGTGAGTGCTCACCATCACACCAAGTCGCCACCCTTGACCCCCAGGGGCTGGTACCTGAGGAATAGGGCAGGAAGTCCTGGTGGTGGCGGACCTGCCAGGTGACATTGTGAGCGTGCACGGCGCGAAAGTAGTCGCCCAGAGTGGCGTACTCCGCCGTGACACCGAGCTCGGAGGTGCGTTTGTTGATGTAGCCCAGCAGGAGGTCCATGTTGGCGAACTGCACCGTGGCGTTGAAAAACTGCCTGTCACATCCCTGCAAGCAGGACGCAGGGGCAACGTCCTGTCCTAAGAGCAGGGCTCGGCCCAGGCCGACGGGCTTGGTCTTGTCACACCCTCCCACTCACTACGGCGGCCGTCAAGTCCCCACATCGGCTGCCATAGCCAAACCCCCGGCGCTTCCTCCTCCCACTCCTCTCTTTCATCTGGACCACATGTATCTGCTATACTTGCTTATCTTCCATCTTATTAGGGGAAGCCTGTACCTGCTGGCCACCTACGCCCACCTCGGACAGCCACAGGGCTGCTTGCTCTCCTTTTCTGTGTTTTGTGTGTGTGTGTGCATTTTTAAAAATCCTCACCCAAGGACCTTTTTTCATTGTTTTGAGAGAGAGGAAGGGAGAAAGAGAAACATCGAATGGTTGCTTCCCGTACATGCCCGGACTGGGGATCAAACCCGCAACCCTTCTGGTTACGAGTCACCGCTCCAACCACCCAGCAGCACCGGCCAGGGCTCCGTGGTGTTTTTAAATTTCACATTAAGTGATATCATACAGTACTTCTCCTTCTCTGACTCATTTCACTCCCTTGTATTTCTAAAAGCCATTTAGGGCTACTACTCACCAAGATCATTAATTATAATACTATGATAATTATGAATACCAATGATAATAGCCACGACTCACACTTATTGACCTTAACGTCATTTTCAAAAAGGCAGTCAAAGTAAAAATTGCTAGAAACATACCACCTACCAAGACCGGGTAAGAAAAAACAGAGAATGTGAACAGACATATTACTAGCAAAGAGATTGATCAGAAATCAAAAAGCTTTGAACAAACATAAGCCCAGGACCAGAGCACATCACTGGTTAATGCTATAAAATATTGAAAGAAGAATAAATTAATACCATCCTTCTAAAATCTTCCAAAAAAAGAAAACAGAAGAGAAAAGAACATTCCCAAACCCATTTATGAGGCCAGCATCACCCTGATACCGAAATCAGACAAAGACATCACAAGAATAGAAAAGTATGAGTCAATATTTTGAGTGATCATAAATGCAAAAATTCTCAACAAAATATTAGCAAACTGATTTCAAAAATACACTAAAAAGATCATACACCATGACCAAGTGGGATTTATTCCAGGGATGCAAGGGTAGGTCAACATCCTCCAGTCAATCGATGTGATATATCACATTAACGAAACAAAGGATAAAAATCCTACATTCAGGTCAACAGATGCAGAAAAAGCATTTAACAAAATTCAACATACATTTATGATTTTAAAAAACCCTCAACAAAGAGGATATACAGAAAGAACATACTCAACACAATGAAGGCCATATATGATGAGCCCACAGCTAAAGTCAAAGTCAGTGGAGGAAAACTGAAAGCTTTTCCTCTGAGATCAGCAACAAGACAAGGGTGCCTACCCTCACCGCTTTTATTCAACATAGTTTTAGAAGCCTCAGCCACAGCAATTAGGCAAGAAAAACAAATAAAAAGCATCCATATTGGAAAGGAAGAAGTAAAACTGTTCTTATTTGCAAATGGCAGTATACAGAGAGAACCCCAAAGAATCCAGTCAGAACTAATAAACAAACTCAGTAAAGTTGCGGGATACAAAATCAATACACCAAAATCAGTGCATTTCTATACACTAATAAATTACCAGAAAGAAAAATTTGCCCTGACTCTGTGACTCAGTGCATCGAGTGCCAGCCCACAAGCCGAAGGGTCACTGGTTCAATTCCCGGTCTAGGTTACATGCTGGGATTTCAGGCCAGGCTCCCAGTGGGGGGCACGTAAGAGGCAACCACATGTTGATGTTTCTCCCTCTCTCTTCTCCCTCCCTTCCCCTCTCTAAAAGTAAATAAATAAAATATTTTTTAAAAAGAAAGAAAAATGTATAAACAATCCCATTTATGAGTGCATTAAGAAGGATAAAATACCTAGCAATAAATTTTACCATGAAGGTGAAAGACCTGTACATTGAAACTACACAACACTGATGAAAAAAATTGAAGACACAAATACGTAGGTTGGAAGAATTATTACTGTTAAAATGTCCATATTACTCAAAGCAATCTACAGGGTCAATGCAATCCCTACCAAAATTCAAATGGCACTTTTCACAGAAATAAAACAAAGAATCTGAAAATTCGTAGGGAACCACACAAAAAAACACCCAAACAGCAAAAGCAATATTGAGAAAGAAAAACAAAACTGGACATATCAAGTTGATCAAATTTTACTACAAAGCTATAGTAATCAAAACAGTAAGGCATTAGCATAAAATCTGTTTCACTGATCAACAGAACAGAAAAGAAAGCACAGCAATAGTCCTATTCATGTATGTCCAATTAATTTATTACAAATTAGCCAAGCATATACAATGGGGAAAAGACAGTTCCTTCAATAAAGGATGTTTAAAAAACTGGACACCCATGAAAAAGAGTGAAAGTGGACCACTCTCTCACACCACACACAGAAACTAACTCAAGAGGATTAGAGACTTCCACATGAGACCTGAAACCATGAAATTCCTGAAAGAAAGCACAGCTAACCAGCTCTTTGACACCAGTCTTGGTGGTGAGTTTTTGGCTTCGACACCACACACAAACACAACAAAAGCAAAAATAAACAGGTGGGACTATAATCAAACTAAAAGCTTCTGCAGAGCCAAGGAGATCATGAAGATGAAAAGGCTACCTACCAAATGGGAGGAAATATTTTTAAATCGTGTATTTAATAAGGGCTTAATATCCAGAATATATAAAGAACTCATACAACTCAGTAGAAAAAAATCAAACAATCCAATTTCAAAATGGGCAATGGATTTGAGTAGACACCACTCCATGGAGGACAGATGGAGACAGACACATGAAAAGGTGCTCAGCCCTACTCACCAATAGAGAAACGCAAATTGGAACCACCAAACCGTGTCGCCTCACACCCGTGGGAATGGCTGTCACCACCAAGACAAGAGACAAGTGCGGGTGAGGATGTGGTGGAAAGGGGACCCTCCGGCACTGGCGACAGGCGTGCACATTGGTGCAGACACCGTGGAAGACCGCATGTAGGTTCCTCAAAAAATCAAAAACAGAATTACTATATGACCCAGTAATTCCACTTCTGGGTATTTAGCCAAAGAAAACAAAACATTAATTCTAAAAGACATCTACACCCATATTCATAGCAGCGTTATTCACAACAGCCAATACATGAAAGCAACCTCAGTGTCCACCAGTGGATGAAGGAACAAGTGCAGTACATAGACTTCCAGTCAAGATGGCGGTGAAAGCAAACACACTGTGCCTCTGTGAACAACCAAAAGAAGGACGACAACAAATTCAAAAACAAAAAATAACCAGAACTGCCAGAAAATCGAACTGTGTGGAAATCTGACAACCACGGAGTTAAAGAAGATGCATTCACCCAGACCGGTAGGAGGGGTGGAGACGGGCAGCTCATCACCACCCGGCCCTCAGTATACGCAATGTTAAAGGGACTCATCTAAGAAAAAGAAGATCAAAACTGTGAACAGTAAAATGACAACAAACTCACAACTATCAACAAACCTAAAAAACAAAAACAAACTAAGCAAACAACTAGAACAGGAATAGAATCACAGATATGGAGATCACATGGAGGGTTATCAGTGGGGAGGGGGAGAAAGGGGAAAAGGAACAGGGAATAAGAAGCATAAATGGTAAGTAGAAAATAGACAGGGGGAGGGTAAGAATAGTATAGAAAATGTAGAAGACAAAGAACTTATATGCACGACCCATACACATGAACTAAGAGGGGAAAATGTGGATGGAAGCAGGGGTGCAGGGCAGGGGGGAATATAGGGTGGAAATGGGACAACTGTAGTAGCATAATCAATAAAATATATTAGTTAAAAAATAAAATAAAAGATAAATGTGGGATATATATATATTTATTTATGACTATACGCAGCCTTATGTTCATAGCAGCATTATTTACAGTAACCAAGATCTAGAAACAACCTGAGTCCCCACCGGTACGTGAGTGGTACATTCACACAGTGGAATACTACTGGGCCGTAAAAAAGGAAACCTTACCCTTTGCGACAGCATGAACAGACCTGGAGAACATTATACTGAGCGAAATAAGCCAGTCAGAGAAAGACAAATACCATATGATCTCACTTATATGTGGAATCTAATGAACAGACTAAACTGACAAACCAAACAGAAACAAAGGCCCGGACACATGGAACAGGCCAACAGCTGTCAGAACAGAGGGGGAGGGGGAGACTGAATGAAAGAAGGGGAAGGGATCAGCCAAAGATCTGATGTGCATAATCCATAGACACGGACACCGGTGAGGTGACAGCCAGAGGGAAGAGGGAGGGGCAGGGCAGGGTGGAGGCGGGCAGAGGGTGGGGGGAAGTGGGGACATTTGTCACAAGGTCAACAAGAAAATAAAAAATAAAATAAAATAAAAGTCTGTGCCTCAAGTCTCATCTAAAGTTATATGGACATAATATTACATGTGTAGTTAGATTAAATGTCATATAATGGCCTATTGACATAACATATGGAGTTTTATGGTTTTCAAAAAATACTTTAATTAGTATCTGCACCTATAGAAAAATGTAATAACAAAAAAAAATCATTATAATCAAGATGTCATTAAAAGAAAAAGAGAAAGGCGTTCGAGAGTGAAAAAGGAAGAGCCCTAAGCAAGGGGCTGTTTTCAGGGGGAGGCGGGGGGGGGTGAGTCCAGGAGGAGCCCCCGGGGTGGGCAGGGGAGGAGGACCTCCCAGGGCTGAGGGCGGCCGCCTGGCCAGCACCTGGATAGATCGCAGAGGCAGGCCTGGTCAGAGTGGACACGAGCCCAGGGTGGCCCCGTCCGGGGCTGTGGTGTGGCCCCCAGGTGGGAACGCCACTTACCCAGGGCCAGAGGACATGTGGGGTCCGGAACCAGGCGGCCCGCAGCTTCACCTCCTCCACCAGGGCCTTCGAGTACCTCTCGACCGTGTGCGCGGTGACAGGCTCGTCCGCATCCGCGTACAGCCCGTCCTTGGGCGGTTCTGGGAACTGGGCCCGACCTTCCCAGGAAAACCCTGACCTGCGGGAGAGAAGGGGTGGGGGGCCCCACCCCAGGAAAGGAAGCCTCCTGCAATCTCGGGGGGCCAACAGGGCTCAGCCAGACCGCAGGGCAGCTGGGGCCCACAGACCCTGCGGGACCCGTGTCCCCACAACGCGACGGGCAGCTCCGAGGTGGGCCGGCTGAGGGGCTCCCATCCAGGGCCCATGCTCACCAGCTGTGGGACCTCGGGCAGGTCGCTCCCCTGGGCCCACGTCACTTCAGCCCTCACACAGAGCCCACCACCTCTGTGTCTCATGTCACCATGTGGGTCACATGGAATTCATTAGGTCACTTCTCTCAGGGCACCTCTGAGCCCACCCGAACAGGGGTGAGGGCTGTGCCTGGGTGGGCACGTGAACCGCTCGCCTTGGACACCAAATGAAAGGGGCTGCCACAGGTCTCAGGGTCAACATCAGTGAGATTCAAGGCGATGTTTTAGAAAAGCAAATAAACAACAAAAAGTTATGGCGAACAAAATCTCAAAGTGTTAACCAAAGACAGAAGGAGCATTTGGGCTCCCCCGTGGCCTCGGCCTCTGGTGTGGTTTGGCCAGCCCGCGGTTAGGGTTGTCCCGCCTCGGGGGGGCAGCAAAGGTCATGGCTCATCTGAGATGGGGACGGTGCTCACGAGCAGTAGCCAAACTCGTCCATGACATGGGTGAAGATTTCCTGCTGCGCCGCCAGGGACTGGGACCCTCGCCACACGAACTGCAGCCCCTGCGCACCAGGAGGGGTCAGGGTGAGGCCTGAAGGCCAGCAGGGAGGCCGGTTCCACCTCCTGCAGCCACCAGAGGGGTCTCTGACCACCCTCCCCTTGGTCCCGAGCTACCTCCTCCTGAAGATCCCATCTCAGCCCCCAGGAGGTTGTGAACCTGCACTCCCAAGGAGCCTGCCTGCTCACTCACCCCAGCTCCTTCTCAGGGCCACCTGTAAGACAAGCTCTGCTTGAATGCCTCTAGCCACAGGGAACTCATCCCCTCTCACTAAGTGGGCAGCCTATGTTTTATAGTAGAGATGGATAGAAAGTGTTCAGGGTTACAAGCAAGGATAAAATCCTGATTCTGTTAGCATCACCTCTGGAACCCACACATGTTCTCTAACTCGCCCGTGACCTGATTCCAGGCCATGGAAACAGAGGGAAGCCATGCCCAGCTCACAGAGTCGCCTGTGGGTGCAACAAGCTGGCACACACAGAAGTGCGCTCAGTGTTCAGTGTGGCCCTCCACGGGGCTCACAGTGTTACTTGTCTGGCAGCCTGCCCACTGCCCTCCCCCCTTTGGGCAGGTTACCACTGCTCTCCAGAACGTTGCTGCCGGGGAGGGGGACTCTGCGCGGGACCTTGACCTGAGGTCAGGGGCTTTGGGGGACACAGAGAACTGAGTGGCGAGGGGGTGCCAGAAAGGGCAGCACGGGTACACCCGGCACTCACCCGAGTCTTCTGCATGGCCTCCTTCAGGTCATAGTCGATCCGGCCAATGACGTGGGCATTGAACCCGGCCAGGGCAAACAGTGTGGGTGTCGTGGCAGATGCGCCGAACGGGTCAACCTGCCAGGAGAACTGCGGCCGGATCCCGAATGTTTCATAGAGAAAACTGTGTCCCTCTGCAGAGAGAGCATCGCCACTGAGCTGGGGACAGGGGTGGGCCCCCCACCTCCTATGGCACTGGGTGCCCTGTTTCCCGGCCAGCAGGGTCTCCGGCACTGGGTGACTAATCCAAAGGCCATCTGAGACCGTCCCACCACTCATGGGTTCACTCACAGCTTCAGAGCCACCACAGGCCAGAGGCCCGGCTGAGTGAGGCGGGAGGAGGAGCCCGGGGGTGCTGGAGACGGAGCTGCGTGGGGCCCACTGCGGAGAAGGGGCCCTTCCCATCCCAGAGGGACACTGCCCCACATTTGCTGTGTTCTAAGTCTGGCCTGCAGGGGTAGCCCGGGGGTGCTCGGGACAGAGGACTCAGTGGGCTGAGGTCAGAGGCCAGGGCTGCTCCTGCTGAGGGTGCCCCAGGACAGGCCAGTCTGCCCCCTCCAAACCCCCCCCATCCTGGCCATACCCCCCACACTTGTTCAGCCAGACCCTGAGCTGAGCCCTGGAGCCCCAGAGAGCAGTTAGACTCATGTGGCTGATGGAGGCCACCTGTGGTTTCAGGGTGACAGAGGGAGGTGGCAAGGAACTGTGGAGACCCAAAGGGGGGTTCCTGGCAGATGAGACTCCTCGGCTGACTCTGAAAGTGAGGGAAGTACCACCACTGACAGGTGGGTGGGGACGGTAAGGTGGAGACGGGGAAGAAGGTGACGGTGGTGGTGGTGGTGGTAACAGTAGTGGTGATGATGGTGTCGGGTGGTGGTGGTAGTAGTGACAGCAGTGGTGACAGCAGTGGTATGGTGGTGGTGTGGTGGTGATGGTGGTGGTGATGGCCTTGACCGTTTAATGAGTCTTTGCTCGGGGACACTGTACTTTACTTACATGGTCTCTTTGAATTACCATCAAACCCTCTTGAGGAGGAGGACAGAGGCGCCACGAGGGGACACGCCTTGCCCAGCTCACGGGGCTGGGGATGAGCCGAGCCCGATCCAGCCAGGCCTCCCAGCCTCCAGCCCATACTCTCGGCCCCTGCCCGCAGTGGCAGCACAGGTGTGACTGTGCCACCAGCCGGCCACTGTCTCAGTCTTTGGCTCCAAGGGGAAGGTGAGGCCCAGAGCCTGGATCCAGACATCAAGTCCCAGCCCAGATGGTGGCTCCAGAGGAACCCTGGTTGTGGGGAATGGTGACCGTACCTGTGAGCTGTAGAATCTGGTCATCAAAGTGGGTCACAGCCTCATCATGCATGACCTGGCCTCCAGTGACAAACTCCAGGCGTCCTTTGGCCAGAAGCTGGCGAATCTTGGCACAGTGGGCAGAAAGGAAAAGCCGGGTCACAACCCCAGAGCTGGGGAGGCCCCGCGGGGACGTGCCTGCAGTGTCCCACGGTGCCGCCCCTGAAACTCCTCGCTTGCATTCGCTCCACAGAGGCAGGACACCGCCCGTGCGGGTCAGCTCGGGGGGCCGCCTCCCACGGCAGCGCTCGGCCGCGGCGGCTACTTGATAATATTTTCCAAATACTTTACTTTTGAAAGAATTTCCAAGTTAGAGAAAATGTGCAAGGATTGCACAAAGAACCGCTGTGCATCCGCTCCCTGGAGTCTTCGTGGCTTAGCACTTCTCCCAGTTTCCCGGACCCCTGTCTCCTGCTCCAGGCGGCCTCACGTCAGCCAACCGAGGGTTCGAGTCTGCAAGTGCCTCTCAGTACCTCGGTTCGTGTCTTGTAAGGAAAAATGATTTGATTTGATTTCATTCTTTATGTATTTATTTAATTTTTAGACAGGTGGGAGGGAGGGAGAAAGCGAGGGAGAGAAACATCGATGTGTGGTTGCCTCTGACGTGCTTCCAACCGAGGAGCTGGCCCACAACCCCGGCATGTTCCCTGACTGGGAATCGAACTGGTGACTGTTCAGCTCACAGGCCGGCACTCAGTCCACTGAGCCACACCAGCCAGGGCAGAACAGGATGATTTTAATCATAGTGTAATAATAAAAATTGGGAAATTCAACATAACACCCTGCTATCTAATCCGCAGGCTTCAATCGCATGTCGCCAATGGCTCCACGACTGTCTCATTTGTATGGGACACGACCGGGAGTGGGTGCCGCTTCTCGTCGCCACCTCTCTGCATCCCCTTCACTCTGGGGCGGCTCCTCGGCCCGTCCTTGTCATTTATGGGACCCGCCGTTTGGAAGATCACGGGTTACCTTGTAGAACATCCTTCAACGTGGATTTTTCTCATGATAGGCTGAAAGATTTTTTTTTTCAGAAGACCTTCATCTGATTCATGTTGTCCAACATGTTTCCAACATATTTAAATGTTAGAACATTAGCCCTGACTGGTGTAACTCAATGGATTGAGTGCACGCCTGTGAACCAAAAAGGGTCACCGGTTCGAGCCCAGTCAGGGCACAGGCCTGGGTTGCAGGCCAGGTCCCCAGTGCAGGGGCACACGAGAGGCAACCACACACTGACGCTTTTCTCTCTTTCTCTCTCCTGTCTCCTCTCTCTAAAAATAAATAAATAATGTCTTTAAAAAATAAAAAAAGAATGTTCCTTTGATAGTATTTAATGTTCCTTTTCTTTGTCCTTAAATACTATCGAATGAATGAATGGGAGGACGGGACAGCAATAACCAGCGAACGGGGCCGTGACGCCCCCTGCCCTGCACTTCCTCCGTTATGGAGGCGCAGTGTTTGTACCGCCCTCGCTCAGCAAATCTGGAATGAGCCCTCCCTGGGTGCTGTTACAGGTGACCTGCCGCCCCCTGGGCCCCATCCAGGCCGTGGGCACTCAGCCTTGAAGAAAGCAGACAAAATCCCCGCCTCTGGCAAGCTGGGCCATTGAGAAGCCGGTTCAGGGCTTGGCCGGGACCCGCCCCTCCCCAGGCGTGCGGTGGGGACAGGAGACAGACGGCCGGGCTTGGGGGTGTCCACGGAAGGAAGTGCGGACCCTTCACTGGACACCTGGGAAAACATACTTTGTCAGACATGTCTGGTTCAGAACACTACCTGTCACGTGTAAGCTCTGCGACCACAGGACAGTCCCTGCTGTGCCTTCTCTGAGCCTGGGCCGTCTCTGTAAAGCGGGTGACTGTCCTCGCCACACAGGCCGTAGGCAGGGTTCAGTGAAGTAACATGGAGGGTAGGAGGCCAGTGCCAGGCACGCACCCATCGACTCCAAGGCTCCCCCCTTCCCCCGCCTCAGCTTCAGAGCCCCCCAGGGGCGCAGGCGGACCCCCTGCTCCGCCCACTCAGCGCCACTTCCTCCAGCAAGTCACTCGCCTCCCTGGCGTTCAGGGCCAGGGGCTGCGCTGAAGGCAGGCTGGTGCCTGGGGGTGGAGTGTGTTTCTAGGACAGCCCCTCTGAGGCGGGGAAGTCACTGCCACCCGCGGGTGTGGGACCTCCAGCACCAGAGTCCTGTCCCCGCCTGTGGGCACAGCCAGAGGTGGCCGCAGCTGAACCGGCCCTGCCGCCTCTCCACAGAGAGGGGCCTCCCTGACTTCCTGCAACGTGTGACTCCAACCTGCTGCCACCTATAAACCACAGGAACTGTGGCACCTGGCCAGTCACCAGGTCCCAGGCCCATGGGGGTTGTGCAGACACAGAAACGAGGGAAGATGCTGTGGGCTCAGGGACACCCAGGGGCGCCCCGCACCGGGGCACAGCTGAGCGCATGGTGGGACACTGTTCACTCTCACAAACAGCCCGAAACCCAGCACTGTCACCACCCACAGCCGGATTGTACGCCCGATCGGGACAGGTACGTGCCCTGCCGTCACCACCCACGGAGTCAGTCACCTGCTGCTTCTGCATCTCCGAGGCGACACCGTCCCACCACAGCCGGAAATACTCCTGCTCCGCCAGGACGAAGCGCCGGTGCTTCCTGAGGGTCAGCGCCTGCACCACGGTGGTGTGCGTGCTGGCCGCATAGGCCCGCATGTTCTCCTGGGGAGGGCCACCACGGGGGGCGGGGGGCACCGTGACCAAGTGTCCCTGGGCCCTGCCTCTCAGCGACACCTGCACAGGCTCGTCCCTCTGCCTCCCCACCACATCCCGACTCCGGGGAGGCCGGGACAGAGAGAACAGGGCTGGCCCGTGGAGAGAACGTGCTCTCCTGCGGAGAGACAGGATGACTGGAACTGTGAAGCTCTCTGAGGACAGTGTCCAGAGCAAGCAGCATGCTAACTGTCCCTGAGGGTGCCATCAGGGACAGCACAGTCAAGCACCTTCCTGGGGGCTTCGTGGGCTGACAGGACAGGACAGGGTGTGTTGAGAGCTGCTGCTAAGAGGAGCACCCCTGGATTGTCCCTGGGTCACCTGCCTGCCTCCGCCAGGCAGGGGCTCTGGGGGATGGATGGAGCCCAGCCGCTTCCATCTGGGTCTCCGAGTGTATGGTGCACCCCGGTGGCTGGGCAAAAGGCAGGCCAAGAGCCCTGGGCAGGCCGCCAGCAGGCTCCAGGGCTCTTCCTGAGCGACCTTGGGCGAGGCCCCACCCTCTCTGGCCCTCAGTTTCCTCTTCTGTAACTGGGGGGGCAGGAGTGACAAGCACGCTCCCGTCCCCTAAGCCGTCTCCACCTGCACATGAGCCGAGACCCCCAGGGGCTCCCACAGGCCCAGGACCAGACTGAACACTCCGCATCAGTCCTCTCCCCACCTCTCCCTCTCTCTCTCTCTCTCTCTCTCTCAGGTTGGCTACTCCCTTGCTCATGTCCTCTGCAGAGGCATCGATCCACAGCCACGGAGGGTCTTTGCTCACTGTCGCACATTTCCTTTCTCATTCCAAAGAAGAGTCTGAGGCAAAGGGAGCCAACCACCCCCCACCCCGCCCCACCCCCACCGAAGAACCTAAGGAAACCAGGGACCTGCCCGCTTTTCCTTTGTGCCGATTCGTTTGTTGATTCAACAAATAGTATGCTGCGTGTCCACCAGGCACAGCGAGAATGGCAGTGGTAAACCGGGGGAGCCCCTCCCCCAGCCATGGAGCCCCCCCCTGAAGTGGGGAAAGCAGTCCATTGACCAGGCAGTGGGTGAAATGTGGGGGAGGGGGCAGACCTCAGAGGGACCCCTGCGAGGCCTCGCCAGAAAGTGACCTTGGAGGAACAGGCTGAAGGAAGTCAGGGACTGAGCCCGAGGCCGCCCGGGAGGAAAGCCTTCGGGGCAGAGGGGGAAGCAGCGCCCTCTCTGAGACCCAGGCCACCCTGCAGAGGGGACCGGGGCCCAGAGGGTGCCTCGCAGACGAGCCCCAGCCGTGGCCTGATCTGGCCGACGCCCTCTTTCTTCTCCTGACCTCCACGCCTGCCACTTTCCCTGTCTCTGGTGGGGACACCGAGGTTCACAGGCAGGAAGCGGTCCAGAGGCAGCCCTGGAACCAGACCCCTCCCCGCTGGTGCAGACCCCCACCAGAAACCCACCGGGGACCCAGCAGGGAGGCGCAGGTGGAGCGCCAGGAGCGCCCGGGGCACGGTGCCCGGCACCTACCTCGACCGTGTAGAGCCAGCCCACGTCCATGTGGCTGTGAGGCACCACGAAGACCCTGATGGGGTCCGCGCGCCGGGCGCCCGACAGCCGCCACGCCACCAGCTGTGTGAACAGGGGCAGCCAGCGGAGTGGCCCCATCCCAGTGCCTGGCCGGTGGTGGCAGGTGCAGGGACGGCTAGTCTGCCAGCAGGCAGCAGACTGGGTGGTGGCCCCATGGGGGAGGAAGTGGCCTGGGAGGCACGATGCCCCGGGCTAAGTGTCACCTGAGCCCTGCAGGAGGGGGTGCTTGCTCAACAGCTCCTAACGATCCTGTCCCTGTGTCCAGGGACACTGCTGTCCACCTTGAAGCCAAATCCTACACACCACCGCCCCCAGCAGCCTGGCAGACATCCCTGGAGCCGGGGAGTGCCCCTTCCTCACCCCAGGGCCCACACCCCTCCAGGGCTCCTAGGCATCTGCTCTGCACCCCCTGGGCTGGGCTCCCGGACCTGGTTTGCCCTACAAAACTCAACTCAGTCCTCGGCTTGGAAGTGCCTCCCCTGGTACCAGCGAGATGACGAGACCTCGGCTCTCATCCTCTCGAAGGACAGATCGGTCAGGAGACAGCATGAAACAAGGCCGGTGAAAATGTGCTGGGCACAAGATGCGCTCCGAGGGCACTGGGTGGGCGCCCAGGTGACAGCATCTCAGCCAGTTTGAGAGCTCAGGTGTGTGGGCTCTGCATCCTGGCCTCCTCCGCTCCCATCTCCCCTGCACACCTGTCCCCGTCGGTTACCTGTCTGTGCTGTGCCATGTGGCCCAACCGTGTCCTGAGACCGAGTAGAGACCTGGGGACCACAGGTGCGGCGCGGCGAGGCCGGTCCTGGCTGAGACTTGCCCGAGGCCCTGAGGACGCGCAGGCACACGAGGGCACCGGGCCTGCCGCGGTCCGGTCCCCGCCCCGACTATTTCTCCCCCAGGGCGTCCCCCGTCCGGCCCAGGGAGCAGGGACTGGTATCCCCACTTTAAGGAGGAACACTGGTCGTCAGAAGGACTTGCCCAAGGTCACACAGCAAATACAGGAGCAAGACTGTCGAAAACACTCGGAACTAGGCCGGAGTCCCCGGATGGGGACCTTGGCACAGCACTAATGTTCTCTGACTCCAGCGGCACATCCAGAAAAACGGGGTGGCAGTAGAGGAGCCGTGGACTCAGTGAGACAGAGCACCGAGGTGGCAGCTTCTGTGTCCCCAGGCCACCCTGGGGGACTGCCAAGGGCCCATTGGTGCGGCCCGCAGGGGCGAGAGTGTCAGCAGGAGCCACCTCTGTGCCCCCACAGAGGGGGCCCATATTTGGGGTGCACTGCCTGAGAGCCGAGGCACCGCGAGACCACCACCTCCAAACAAGTCTGGGTCCCCCCAGGTCCCCCTGTCAGACCCTCCCTGGATGCAGACAAGGAAAGTGTCTCCCACCACCTGTGTCCTCGTGACCCTCCAGGACGCACGCCAGGCCCATCTTTCCCCGCCCTCCCCCACGGGGGCCATGTTCCTGGTTCCAGCCCCAGGACATGGGACAGTGCTCCCCTCCCAGGGTGGCTGAACGGCGGGCCCTCTGAGGACCTCCGGGAGCCCAGAGCCACTGACGGAGGCCCCTGCGGACCCTGTCAGCAGACTGGGACATGAGGAACCAATGACTGGTGTGGTGTCAAGCCACTGTGTCTGTCTGATAAGCGTGTCCCTGGTCTATTTCCCAAGATGGCCACACAAGGTCTCCGGTGCAGGGAGCACATCACAGGACACAACCCTGACCTCCTCCCATTGAGATGGGGTCTGTGTATTCTCCCACTGAAGCTGGGTGCGCTGTGACACACTTGTGACCCACAGAGTGTGGTGAGGTGGCCCTGCTTAGTGAGTGGGGCATCCTCCGAGGCTCGTCTGCCCGGCCACAGCCCACACCCATGTCTCCGGATCTTTGGACACCTTCATGCTCCCTCTGCCCAGGGCGCTCCGGCATCCCTTTGCCAATTGGTGTGTCGACACTCTCCTGGTGCTTGGGGCGGTCCCCGCAGCTGGCACTGTCTCCTGGAGCCAAGTCCTACATGATGTGGCCACAGTCCACAGCTACTTCGGCCACTGGCAGACACACCACGAACTGGGGGCTTCCACAAGAGACGTGCATTTTCTCTTGGGAGGCTGGAAGGGCCCCGGGTGGGGCAAGTCTCAGCAGGGTCTGTGACAACCACAGAGGCTCGCTGTCCCTTCACCAGCAGTGGCCTTCCACTGCGGGGACAGCGCTCCCTAGGGGCAGGTCTCGTACGGCAGCCCAAAGAGACTCTGGTCTGAGCAGCCAACTGTCCACAGCCAGGCCAGCACCCACCAGGGTCTCCCCATGCAGGGCTGGTGGCCCCCACACGGAGCCCCCTGTGTGTCAGGTGTGCGCACGCCCCTGGGGCCTCTCTTGAGCAGGCCATGGCTGCAGGGGAAGGGTGCAAAGCGTGACCTGTTCCGCATGATCTCAAGGAAGGAACAGCTTGGCCGTTCCTTGAATGCGGGAGTGGGAGTCTGCAGGACCAGCATGCAGGCACTGTTGCCTGTTAGTGCCTGCGACACCGCGTCCTGTCTTCTAGAGCCAGTGGGACAGGCCTGGGGGCTCGTGCTGGCTGTGATGGGCAAACTGCCCAGGCCTGCACCCACGCCCAGGCCCTCTCAGGCCAGCGGCAGGAACCCCAGCTCCCCTTGCCTCCGACCCGCCACTGCTCCCAGGGTCTGTCTGCCGGAGGCCTGACGCTCAGCTGTGTCTCAGACCTTCAGGGTTTGGCCCTTGATCTGGCACTTGCAGAAAACAAGTCCCGGTCTGTGGTCCTTTATTAGGGCGGCCCTGGAAACCAGCATACCGATAGTCCTGCGGTGGCAGAACAGCATGCTGTTCCCAAAAATGGGTTACTGGGAGGTGCCTCGACCTCGGGCCTCTCACCAGGGCAGGCCTGCTCTCGGGGGCGTGAGGCAGCAGGGCCCCCGGGGCTGCCAGCCTTGAGGCAGCTGTGGGCCTGCGTGAATGATGCAGAACCAACTTCCCCTAACTGTGCGACCAGAACCCTCACTAGTAGGCCAGAGCCTGCCTCACCTTCTCTTTGTGCCGTTTCTTAGCCCTTAATGAGCCTCTCCGAGAACCACTGAGGACGGGCTGACACCAGAGGGACACAGAGGCGCCTCGTCAGTGACCACCCAAGGGACAAGGCAGCAGGGAAACACTGGAGGGTGTCCCGAGTGCCAGGCTGGATGGGTCTGCAGGAAGGGACCACCATTTGGCTCAGAAAATACACTGGACATGTCTTCCGGAGAAAACGAAGCGACTTTCATAGCACCTCTGTACGTGGGCCCCAGGGCCGCCACACCCAAGTGCCAGAAACTGGGGGCTTAACGCACAGAAATGGGTTGTCCCCCAGGTCTGGAGGCCAGGAAACCAAAATGAAGGTGCCTGAGGGCCAGGCTCCCTCCCAGGGCTCCTGGGAAGGATTCTGTCTTCAATTCCAGCTCGCAGTGGCCCTGGCAACCCTGGTTTTCTCTCACTCCCATCTGTTACTGGCTCCTTACCCCCAGAGCCATTTTGCCTTGTCTCTTCTCACGAGAACACCAGCCACAGGGGAGTGGGACTCCCCCCCACACTCCAGCACGGCCTCGCCCACCTTGATCACTTCCACAAAGATCCCACGGCCAGAGAAGGTCCTACTCACAGGTCCTGGGGACGGAGACCCCAGCGCGTCTTCAGAGGCCCAGCTCAACTCACTGTGACCCGAGAGGGCGCAGCTTGTGTCTCCGTGTATGGCCACATGTGGACAGACTTCCAGGCACCAAACATTCAGGGAAATCTCCACAGAGTGCCCGAGCCCTGCTTTTTCAGGACCAGGTGGGACTAACAGACCTTGGTCACCAAGTACGACGTGGCATCGTGCAATTTGTAAGTGACCCAAAGACCCGTCCACGGCAGCATGGACAAACAAGGGGACAGTGGGTCTCCAAGATGGGCCCCAAGACGAGTCGTCCAAGCATCGCTTGGGAAGCTGTTAGAAATGCAGATCAGCCCATCACAGACAAGTGGACAGCCCGGTCGGCATGGCGCAGTGGGCTGAGCACCGTCCTGCAAACGGAAAGGTCGCTGGTTCAACCCCTAGTCAGGGCACAGAACTGGTTTGGTCCCCAGTGGGGTGCACGCGGAGGGCGGCCAGTGGGTGTTTCTCTGTCACATGGATGTCTCTCTCCCTCTCCTTCTCCATCCCTTCCTCCATCCCTTCCACTCACTCCAAAATAAAAAGTAAAGATAAATTTTACTTAAACGCAAATGATCAGGCCCTACCTCAGACCAAAGGAACCTGCCACTGTAGGGAGCCCCGCAGTGTCTCGTAACTGGCCCCAGGTCGTCCGGCGCCGACTGCAGGTGGGGAGCCCCACCCGGAGCAATCAGAGCTCGCGTCCCCACCAGGCCAGCCCGGGCGGGGGTGCGTGTGGAGGGATAACGAGGGCTCCCTTCACCTGGGGTTCAAAACGGGCAAAACACACCAGGCTACTTAGGATCGTAATCACAGCTCTAACACAATAAAGAAAAGCAGAGAGACTGGCAACCAAGGGCACAGGGGGCTCCGTCGAGGGGAGAGCGGCAGGACGGTCGGGAAGAGACGCGGCAGTTTCCGGGGGTGTTGGCGCAGCCTTATTTCCTGACCCGGTGGATGGTCCCATGTGCGTCCCCTGTAACATCGTGTATTATTAGGGTTACACATGTGGTACATTATAAAGAGCAGACTTCCTGTATATCACCTATGATCTGCTCCCTATGTAAACACGTACTACATAGATGACATGCCTACACATATATTGTTATTCTCACACAAAATATTAAAAATGTAAAAAAGAAAAAATACAAGAATGTGACAATGATACAGGTGAAAGTGAAAACAGAAAGAACGAACCCAGAGTCACGCCTAACCCGCCAGGGCACCCGGGCCGGACCCAGCCTGCGCCGCGGTCTGGACTGAGCCGGCTTCGGCCCCACGGGCGCCTCTGGCTGCGGTGGGGTCGGGTGCTCTCCCCACACAGGCGGCCGCTTTCGGCCTGGACGTGGCTCCTCAGGGGGGACTCCGTGGCGGAGAAGCCCTTCCGCGACGT